CTTTATTGATATTTAGCCCCGCCCAGACTTCAGTTATTTTCGTTTAAGTAAATTTTGTAAGCAAATTTGAAGTTTTATCAGAGAATTAAAGATGTACTTTTTGTATTGTTTCAGAAATGATAATGTAAGCTGTAGATGTTGTAAGATGTATGATATTGAAGCTGTAAATCGAAAACTTTGTCATTGAATAAACGTTTTGAACTTTATCTGTAGGATGAGTGTTTTGGTCCCTACACGGTTCTGATCGTTTGTACTTGGTATTTATTTTATTCCAGATTTTACCATAAAATTATATTTTCGATTTCCCTAACAGGTCCAAATTATAAATAAAAAAGAAAATCGATGCGGGACAACAGATTAAATTATTTCGTTTCATGTGAAACAAATGGTCATTCCAAATTTTATCAGAAGCCTTTAGTTTCGTTTTACAAGTCGTTTTTGTGCAGTTGGGCACGATGCGGCAAGTTGGGCAATGCGGCAAAACGAACCCACCGGTTATTTGGGTGGGGTTCTTAATCTTGTGAAATAATGAATATAAAAATTGACCATATCATCCACTAACAACATGATGTTTTGGAATAAAAGATAATCATAACTTTCACTCGCCTATCAGAACCACGTAAAACATGTAAAATATATTCTCATCACTCATCTAAATCAGTTTAGCCCATTCCCTTTTGTCTATTGCATTTGCAACTCGCTTACCTTGTCCTCGTACAACGGTGTAAGCCGATTTACGAAGGAAGCATGGAGTGTTTACAGTTATTTGAATGAAATATAAATCAACGCCTACGCCATTTCACCTAGCATTGTCGAAATAATTGTCACTACGAGAAAAATAAGCCGATGTAAAGTGCCCTTTCAGCGACAATTACAGATTCGTTAAGGAGACGGTTTTGGTTTTCGTTTTGTGAACTTGAAAAGTAGCGAACCGACCTATATTATTTTAACTTACTATTAACCATAAGATTATCGTCTACAGTGCTCTCTGATGATGACCACAGAGCTGCCAGAGAATATAATTGGCTATGTAAATAGAGGCTTTGAAAACTTGTAGTGTCCATCTTTAAATAGACTTGTGTTGGCTTTGGAAAGGTAAACTTTTTTCTAGTCAAGGTATCTCAGATGAAGGTTTACCGAAACTATCGGAAGTCAAAAGATACAGTCAGAGCCACTGTTCCAGGGCTAGTATGTCATATAAGTAAAATTTGATGAGTTCAGGCCAGTAACCGAATCAAAACAGTTCTATAAATTACTTTGTACGAGGCAGAGCGGTTTTAAAAACCTCATTGAATAATTAGGGAACGTGTCTACTCTTTTTGAAACCTCTACGCAGTGCAAAACTTAATTCCAAAATGCTTTTCATTCATAAGCAAATACAAATGTGTGGATCATTGGCAAGTTTAGTAATAGTTCGGTTTTCATAGTCACCATGCAGTTAATATCAGTATTATTTGAAAAACGAGGCTGGTTGTGGCAGAGACAAGTCTAGATCAGTCATGACTTGTCCAAAATTGTCATTTTCATGTAGATTAATCAATGGGTATTAACTGTGCTCAATGTCGTACTCTGCAGTGCAGTTGAGACTCTTTGGCAGAGTCGGCAAACTGAAAGGGAATTGTAAGCCAAACAAATTGTCAAAGGCCCGGAAAGTTTAGTATGTTAAAGATATTTCGATCATTAAAATTGATCAATTCGTTGACCACGAAGCAACTTTCTTGAGACACAAAGTATTGGGATTTTTTTTCATATTTTATTATTAACATTAACAAATTTAAAAAAATATATAATAGTTTAGTATGTGCACAAGTATGATTCGTTAGGACACCCTTGTTTAGGGTATCCAATTACAGCGTGATTGATTTTCGAAACGACTTCATAACTGTTATTTTTTTTTATTAGAAAGTTCTAAAAGCCTTAGGAACACTCTGGAATTATGTGTAATGAAAACTTACACCTTTTTTGAAACATTTCACCAAGAATAGTTTTTTTCAGATCTGATGCTCAATCCTTCTCAGAAAAATACTGATAATTAGTTTAGAAACATTTTCTGTGGACGATTGCTGGACCAGATTCATCATATTCCTGTTTGGAGATCCACATCTGTTGGAAGGTTGAGAGAGAAGCCAAGATAGAACCACCAATCCATACAGAGTATTTTCTTTCAGGGGGAGCGATGATTTTAATTTTCATGGTTGGTGGGGCTAAGGCTGTGATTTCTTTCTGCATTCTGTCAGCAATACCTGGGTACATGGTAGATCCTCCAGATAATACAGTGTTGGCATACAAGTCTTTTCTGATATCAACATCACATTTCATGATGGAGTTGTAGGAGGTTTCATGGATACCAGAAGATTCCATACCCAAGAAAGATGGTTGAAACATGGCTTCTGGGCATCGGAATCGTTCGTTACCAATGGTGATGACTTGACCATCGGGTAGTTCGTATGATTTTTCTAATGACGACGACGACGAGGCTGTCTGCATTTCCTGTTCAAAATCCAAAGCAACATAACATAATTTTTCTTTGATGTCTCTGACGATTTCTCTTTCAGCTGTTGTGGTGAATGAGTAACCTCTTTCTGTCAAAATTTTCATCAAGTAGTCGGTCAAATCTCGACCAGCCAAATCTAATCTCATAATGGCATGAGGAAGAGCATAACCTTCGTAGATTGGTACTGTGTGACTCACACCATCTCCAGAATCCATAACGATACCAGTGGTACGACCAGAGGCATATAGGGACAATACAGCTTGGATAGCTACATACATAGCTGGTGAATTGAAGGTTTCAAACATAATTTGAGTCATCTTTTCTCTGTTGGCTTTGGGATTGAGTGGAGCCTCTGTGAGGAGGACAGGGTGTTCTTCTGGGGCGACTCGAAGTTCATTGTAGAAAGTGTGATGCCAGATTTTCTCCATATCATCCCAGTTGGTAACAATACCATGTTCAATTGGGTATTTTAAGGTGAGGATACCTCTCTTAGATTGAGCTTCATCTCCTACATAGCTGTCTTTCTGTCCCATACCAACCATAACACCCTAGAAAAATAAGAAATGGAATCATTAGTTTAACGTCGGAAATTTTTTATGATTAAAGTCATTAGAAATTTATGTCGAGTGTAACGGAAGTGAACTATTCTGTATCAGGAAGTTTTGACCCCGACTGACTAATCATCAAGTTACAGCCCAAATTGCTTCCTTGTAACTATTGAATAGGCGAAACACGTCCGGACTAACTTGTCACGTGACAACCGGCACATTGAAGACACGTGATAGTGGGCAAAGAAAACAAAACTCCAATTCATTTTATGAAGACTGTACGAAGTGGTTATATTAACCATTTACATAGTTTTCGTCGGCAATCAATACCAAGTGTATGAATCACTGTCTCGTCTGAAGTCAGTCACCATAATTACTTATACGATTATCAAGGTCGTGGGGGTCATACAACGTGACACAATTCTGGAATGCGTGACGCTCGAAAAGGATTGTCACCATTTTTTTCAAAAGGTTTAATTAGTGAATTCATTGTCATTGCAAAAGAATAGCCCTATATTGTACTCAATGCAATAAGTAGCTCAAACTGATAAATTATTGATAGAAAATTGTCAGCTTCAACTACGAAATGCATATTCAAACTATGCTAGTAAATCTGAGGGTTGTAAATATTACATGTTATAAATTCAACTTGACAAGATATATCACATAATTTTTTAACCGGCTAAATATAACATAAATATAAAATTCAAATTACCTGATGTCTGGGTCTTCCGACAATGGAGGGGAAAACAGCTCGAGGGGCATCGTCTCCAGCAAAACCTGCTTTACACATACCAGATCCATTATCAATAACGAGTGCTGCTACATCATCTTCCATGATTACTGGTTTAAGAACGTTACAAGGTATAAAAGTAATGTGTTGTCTCTCTGAGTGGCTTGAGGTCGAATGAGCGACAGAGAAACTACTTTATTATATATTCACCGTATAACATGAATGATTAACACCGAATAAGGAAATCTAACTAGCTTTTTCCTAGAAACCCTAACCGCATGAGTGATTTAAGCTGGCTGCTTAATATTCACATGTGTCAATTTCTATAACAAAACTCATCGCTGATTGGTTCATCTTGAAACAATGATCATGTGTAAGATTTGAATGACATATATATAGAAGTGAGGAGCACATATAAGACACTAGACAATATTATGGAATATAACACACTTCTTTAATAAGGTTAGGCACATAACGTTTCAACACAATATACACATGTCGTCATCATCAGTCTTGTATTAAGCAGCAAGTCAAAGGAATGCTCAAAAGTGGCTTTTACTGTAGAAACTGAGAAAACTGTAAAAACTTGGGGTTATTATAAAAGACAAAAACAGCAGGAACCACTTTATTCTAAAACACAAGATATATCTGTACAGCAAGGAAGATTAGTTCAGGAGACAATTTATTTAGTATGACTTTTAAACCTTTAAAAACTTAGTAAATTCCACCAAAAGAGATTTTAAAACATTTCATTTTATTTTTCAACCTCTAATTAAAGATATCAATAGGCCCTACAGAAGATAACTTCGACCTTTATAATTCGTAATAGCTTCAAATTGTGAACATTGTCGTTTTCTCGTTTTCCACTGAAAAATGTTACGAATTAATATAAATAGTAGAAGTATATTCGGTCTTGAACAAAAACTTGATGATTCAGCTTTTATTAAGGACAATTTTTATCTCATGTCAATAGGTAAAATATTTGTTGTGTGGCTTACACAATTTCGACAATTGGTATCACGTGTCAGGTCAGAGGCCAGAGGGTAAATGTTATGTGGCAGGCCGGGCCTTGAGGCACAGATACCATTGACAGTTTGAAACTCGGATGATACGGTTGTTACAACTTAATGCCAGGGGTAAAATATGGCAACTCATAAATAATGGTTTACTTATCAATATCCTCGGGCGAAAGTCACTCATCATGATAAGTTATTCGCGGTGGGTTCGTTTTGCCGCATTGCCCAACTTGCCGCATCGTGCCCAACTGCACAAAAACGACTTGTAAAACGAAACTAAAGGTTTCTGATAAAATCCGGAATGACCATTTGTTTCACATGAAGCAAAATATTTTAATCTGTTGCCCCGCATTTATTTTCTTTGTATTTATTATTTGGACCTGTTAGGGAAATCAACACTATAGTTTTATGGTAAAATCTGGAATAAAATAAATACCAAGTACAAACGATCAGAACCGTAATACAAAATACATAAATCCATAAAACAAGACAAGACAAGTTCAATGAAAAATTTG